GTCACCGAAAAACTGAGTTTAATCTAGGAAGAAGAAGGAGTTGGGTTTTATTCAAAACCCGTAAGGTAATTTTTACTTCTATCTTCTTCCATTTGATCTGTGTTTTGCACATACCTAAGAAAATTCCAAGGTCATTAATAGGTAAAATCAAGCATGTATGCATAATAAAAAAGATCGATGAATTATAGTGCCTTATATATATGTGTATATGTTTGATTTAATTTGAACTTTGAATCCATGAAACTTAATTTAAACTTGTTTAATTTATGCATAAGGATGTTAAATAATGTTTAGGGGTGTTCTGGACTTAAAGCAGTAGCCTTAGGACCCTTAACAGAGGAGAACGGAGTCGCCTGAGTCAGAGAAAGTGATCAGGCGCGGAGGTTTGGTCGATCGGTTTGGTGTTTCGGTTGACCAAAGTGGTTCAGCAGTGAGGAATAGAGGTTGTATTTTGGCCGATCGAATTGGGTATTTCGGTCTACCGAAATAGTTGTATTTACTGACCAGTTTGGTACTTCGGTCGACCGGTTTGGCACTAAAAACTATTTTTTGGAATTTTTGCATACTATATATGGTAACATGTGATGAATCTATTTTTTAATGTCTTAAATCTGTTTAAATAGATTCATAGAGGATTGGGATAAATAAGTAAATATTAATATGCTAATGATAAGAACAGCATGGACTTTAATTATACATATATGTTGTTGATGGAGGATATAAATGCTTAATTTTAATCTAGCATGATCTTGCATTGTATGTATATGATTTTAGTCATATATTGTTAGTATAATATAATCATATATATGCCTGATTTATATTATGCTCATCTATGGATTTAAATTGATGTAATATTATATTTATTTTCATCAATTATGGATTGTGTGATGTAATGCACCAGTATAAGATGGTGGCATTCTGGGGACGGATTAACTTATCAGTTAAGTCCTACCTATTTTGTATAAGGAAATGGATCAACTAAAATGTTAAGTCCTCCTTATATTCAAGTCAAATCAGTTGAACAAGTTGAATGACTTATAGAGGATTAATTGTAGAGGATTAATTATAAAGGATTACTTGTAAAGGATTAATTATAGAGGATTATTTGTAGAGGATTAATTATAGAGGATTACTTTATACTAGATAGGATGGTTAATGTATTTATATATATAATTATGTGCCATAATATGAGTTTGAGTCTCAAGATCAATGGTTAGGGTGTGTATTGCCAGGGATGTGTAGCTCGATATAGTGTAGTTGTGTACCCTGGTAGGTCTAGGTACTCATGCCTACTATATGTGCGTTTTACATGTTGCCTTCTATTCAGGTTGAGACAACCCTATAGTCTAGTGAGGTTCCTTTAATGTGTGTGTATATATATATATATATACGGACTACTAGTTATTGTTGGATTGACTAGAATGTATATGTGTATCGGATCTCTGCTTGGACTGTAACAGAGTAGAACTTGTTTGTAGGCCTGACCCACCATTATTTTTCAGGTGTTCGTCAAGAGTAGAGGTTGTTCGTGCTGAACAGGAGTTTCCTTTATGTTTCAGTATTCTAATGTAGATAGTTATTATTGCTGTCACTTGTTCAGTTGGGATTTTCTAGGCACATAGTATGGATTCCCGAGTTTTATTAGTTTGGAAGATTGGTTGTATCGGAATAAGTTATTATTTAATGAAAATTTATTCTGAGGATTAATTATTAGATTGTCATTTTAGTTTCTTTTCAGTATTTTATTTATTCTTTTTTAACATATTTGTATTCGGTGTTCGATTATTGTCGATTCATTTTGATATCACCGGGTATTCGGGCATAGGCCTGGCCAACCCGCATTCGAAAATCCGGGGGTATCATAGTTGGCATCCAAGCTCTCTGAGCTTTGTTTGGCTGAGGAGATGTTCTTCAAGCAAAAAGCAAAAATACATTGGCTAAATTAGGTTGGAGACCAGAACACCTCCTACTTCATGAAATCATTCTCCTCCAAAGCTAATAGGAGGAAGATTGTCTCTATTGAGGATGCATATAGAAATTCAATTCAAGAATAGGACCTAAAGAATGAATTCCTTTGCCACTTCAGGAACCTGCTTGGACAATCCTACAGCAATTACCCAGGTATGTCCTCATTCTCTCATCTTATCTCTAAGTCAGTTCCCTCCCACCTTCTTCCAACCCTTACCGCCATACCTACCGACTTGGAGATTCAGAATTGCATCCTCTCTTTTAACCCCTATAAAAGCCTTAGACCTAATGGCTCTAACTCATATTTTTTCAACCATGCTTGGCCAATCATTGTACAAGATATCATTGGGGCAATTAAAGATTTCTTCATTTTTGGGAGGATGCTCTCTGAACTTAATTGTTCTTATATTGCTTTGGTCCCCAAAATCCCTAACCCTTCAACTATTAGTGACTACAGACCCATTTCTTGCTATAACCTTCTCTATAAGTGTATCTCTAAATTGATTGCAAATAAGCTCAGTACTGTCCTTCCATCTCTTATCAATCCCTCTCAGAATGCTTTTATTAAGGATAGGCAAATTTCTGATAACATCATTTTAGCTCATGAATTGCTGAATGGCTATCATAAGGCGAATCATCCTCCTTCTTGTACCCTTAAAATTGATCTTAAAAAAGGCATTTGATTTATTACATTGGCAGATCATCCTTGACACTCTCCAATTGTTTGGCTTTCCTAGATTATTTGTTCACTGGATTAGCCAATGTATTTCTTCACCATCCTACTCAATCTCACTTAATGGAGAATTGTTTGGGTTTTTCAGAGGTAAAAGAGGCATTAGACAAGGTGATCCTATCTCACCTTTGCTTTTTGTTCTTGTTATGGAAGTCCTTTATCTCTTGGCTCTACCATTTCATGTAGCCCTTGTTTTAAGTACCACTGGAGGTGTAAGAAACTGTCTGTCTCACACTTGGCCTTTGCTGATGACTTACTCCTCTTCTCCTTTGAGAATCTTGAATCTGTCAATGTATTACACTAAGCATTGAGTGATTTCCTAACCGTATCAGGGCTCTCAATTAATTGCTCTAAAAGCAAAGTCTTCTTCTCTTGTGTGGATACTTCCACTAAGGAAGCTATACTCAATCTACTGCGTTTTGAGGCTGGTTCCCTGCCAATCACTTACCTTGGACTCCCAGTTTCTTCCTCCTCAATCAATTCCACTGATTGCCAAACCCTTATGCAGAAAATAACAGCTAGGATTCACTGTTGGAAATCTAGATTTTTATCATATGCAGGGAGGGCAGTCCTTATAAAAGCAATCCTTTTTTCTATTCAAGCTTACTGGTCACAAGTTTTTAGACTTCCACTGAAGGTTAGAGATCAAATTAACCAATTCTAGGATATTTCTACTGGTCTGGCTTTGAATTGAAGAAGAATGGGGCAAAGTTGCATGGTCCTTCATTTGCAGACCAAAGGTTTATGGTGGTCTTGGTTTTCCCTATGTTGATTTAAACAATCATTGGGTCTTGCCACCACATCTTCTTTACATCCCTTTCCTATAATCTCAATCCTTCATAAATCAGCTGCAATCTCTGCATTCCCCTTCAGCAACTACTCCTGATTTGGTGGACTGGCTTCCTTGTCCCATAAGAAGTTTCTCACATAAATACACCATGGAATACTTCACTCCTCCATCCATAGCTTTTTCATGACACCACTTGCTTTGGTTCAAGCATCATATTCCGAAACACAGCCACATTGCATGGGTGGCAATGAGGAGAAGGTTGTATACCTTAGACACCAAACCAATGCTAAACAAGCATTACACAAATGTTTGTTACCTCTGCATGTCAGATTGGGAGTCCCTTGATCACCTATTTTTTAGATGCTCATTTAGTTCTATTATTTGGAACTTTGTACAGCAAACAACAGGTTTCAGTTTTCACCCTAGCAGCTGGAATGAGTTAGTTACTTGTTGTAGTTGTAATTGGACATCAGCTTGTTTTGTCACGCATAAACTCCTCCCTGCTGCTGCAATTTATTTCATTTGGCAGGAAAGGACTGCTAGAGTATTCAGGAACAACTCTTCTCCTCCACATATTTCCATCTCACTTATCAAAAGCACAATTCGAGCAAGACTTGCTTCATTGATGCTGAGAACTGGCAATGAACTAAAGAGGCGAGGATTGATTCTTTAGCTAGTCTTCATCATTTATTTTTGCAGGGCTGCTCATCTGCAGGGGTTCACTCTTGGTATATCATGGATTAGACTACACCATGTTGAGATGTTATTTGCAGGGGTTCACTCTTGGGTCACTCTTGTTGTGCCTAGTGCCTCATGCTGCAGTGCCTACTAACTGTTAGATACTTGATGATATCTGTTTCTTCGTGCTCTTTGGCAAACTACACACCCATGACTGATCTGAAGTACCTTACTGCCTGTAGTACCTGCTATGGGTATCTTGCTGTTATTATCTTGCTCTTTGAAGTGCCTACAATGGCAAACTACACACTCATGACTGATCTGAAGTGCCTTTCTGCCTGTAGTACCTGCTATGGGTATCTTGCTGTTATTATCTTGCTGTTTGAAGTGCCTACAATGGTATCTGATGAATCTTGCTGGTCTTCTACCATATTTTTGGTGGCATTTTACTATGTCTGTAATGATGTATCTTGTGACAGTTTTGGCTGCAATGTTGTATATTGTGTTTATCTTGTTGTGGATGTTGGGACATCTTGTGTTGAGAGTCTGTGCGCAGCGGAATGGTTGTTGAATATAAATAAATATATATCTCACATCTTGTTGTCCCTGGTCTTGGCTGTAATGTCCTTACTTAGACGGACCTCATGTACATCATTATTTTATTTACCAAAGCTTACCCATTTACTTTTAAAAAATAAATAAATAAATAAATAGGTAAGCGCTGCTTTCGTTGAACTCTCGTTTTTACATCTATATATATATATATATATATATATATATATATATATATTTCCTTCACGCGGTACGTGTGGGTCGTCCTCGCTTTCTCGGTCAGCTAAGCAACAACTCTAGACCAACTCCACCTTCTATCTCACAACCTATATACTATTTATACACACACATCATCATAAAGGTATATCTAATTCCTTCATCCATCTTCTCCCGATTCACTTCTCTCTCTCTTTCTCTGTCTCTAAAATATCATCTACTAGTTTCATATACTTTTAAGTTCGTAATTCTCAATATGAGTCACTACGATCAAAACAAGCCTCAAGGTATATAATATATTTACATCTTTCATTTCTTATATTGCATGGTTGGTACTAGTATATATATATTTGTATATATCCATAGATAGATATATGATTGTATGTTGTTGGATGAATTTGACAGAAGCATATCCTTTTCCATCAACTACTGCACCGGTTGAGGGGTACCCACAAGGTCCTTATGTGGCTCCACCGCCGGCTGGTTATCCGATGAAAGACGGTGAAGCAAATTCCCAGAATCATCATCATTCAGCACAAACTCAGTCCAGGGGTGATGGCTTCTGGAAGGGATGGTATGTTCTCTATCTATGTGTATGCTATATATATATATATGACTGAAATATTAGTAATCAAATCGATCTGGGTGGTTCTGTTTTGTGGTGCAGTTGTGCTGCCTTATGCTGTTGCTGTCTCTTGGACGCGTGTTTCTGAGGATTGAGAGATTCATTTATATGCTTTAATTATTTAATGTATATCATAACTAAAGGGATTGTTTTGGTGTTCCCTGTACCATTGTGGTGTTGGATCTTATTATTATTCTTTTAATATATAGTGTAGTGGCGTGTTTGTTTTGTAATGTCCAACTTATTTGTTGAAAAGGCTGTACAGCCTTGACTTTGGCGGATTGTTGTGTATCATAGTCATTGTTGATATTTATTTATAGAGAGCTTACCTGTTGAAAATTTGAATCTGGCTGATTATAATAATTGTTCTACCAAGATTTTTTTTTTTTTTTGGAAAAAAGAAAAAAAGAAAGTCAATATTTGCTCTCAATTGAAGTGCTGCCTACTTTTTTGTTCAATGATCTAAATATTGTCAGAAATAAGAATGTCTTTATGGTAATTAACAAATTTTGATACTAAATTAATCAATAATCATGTATATTCAACCATCAATCAATCATAATATAATGGATAAGAACATCAATAATTTATCAGTTATTTATATTTTACAATAAAAAATTATCAACCATTAGTATCTTAATGTAGGGCTATATTAGTTGGTGAAAATCACTATTTGACAGCTCATGTTAATACGAGAGATTAGTTGAAAGTCCATGTCTTTTTCGCCAACTTTCTGGTACAAGCAAACGTCGGTCTCTAATTACCTCAAGTACAAAAAAAACAAAAAATAATAATCATAATAATTAAAATAATAATTTTAAGCTCTTGAGTACGTGAAGCATTTACTAGCTAACCTTAGGTTATATATAAGTTCAGGACTGTGTTATCAAAGGTCTATGGTGTAATGATCCGGTCATTTTTATTCATTTCATTTTCTCGGATCTTCATGAATATTTTTTTTCCGTTGATCTTTTCCTTTCTGAGTTCTATTTCTTGTCACTTAGTGTCATCTAGAGTGCTCGGGGATGGTTTCCGAGACTCTTTTCCGTGGATTGACGACTTCCTTTGAGAACCGAGTCATTTTCACATTTTCACTTTTGTGACACTATTCACCTTTCGTCTTTTTCTCGGTTGTCACTTTGTTGGCATAACCTCACTTTTCGTGTTCGGATTTTATTCCGGTTTTGCATGCATCCACGATATTTAAATTCCATACTATGTGTATTTTCACTTTTGTAGAAAAGCATGCTAAGTGCTTACTTTTTTTGTAAAGGGTATAGACGCATAACATTTTTATAATTTTCCTAACTTTTGGGATTTTTGTGTAATTACTGTAAAATAATTATTTTTCATCTTAGGGACCATTTTGCAATTTAATTTGGAAGATATTTTCAAAAAAGACCTTTTTGCAATTTCCGAAAAAGTGTGACAAGTGTCACACTCTCATTGGTCCACTTGTTGACATTTGTGTGGAGACACTTTGATGCCTTGGATGAAAACATGTGGAGGGTGGAGATTTAACCACTTGTTGGCCTAGGATTGGTGCACTTGTTGGCTTGGATGGTTGACAAGTGTAGGTTTGAGATTAAGCCTAGGATGGAGCCTTGGATTTGTGACAAGTGTATGCTCACAATTAAGTCTTGCAATTTATTTTTGGGCCACTTTTGGATTATAGTTTTAAAGAGGGGTTTTTGTGCAATTGACTATAGATGTGTGTGTTGACCATGGTGTAGGAACATATAGTGAGTGGAGGATTTCTATTTCCTCCACTCACCCATTTTCACATTATGTAATTTTCTTCCTCATTAGAACCCTAGCCTCCATGGATGGAGCTTGAAGCCTTAGGCCTTGACATTGATTTTTGAGGGCCTTCCACTCACCTTAGACCATGAAGCTTGGAACACTTTTTGTTCCCTTCATCCTCCTCTACATAACCCTTGAAGGGTTTACCATTTTGTGTTGATTTGCCTTGGATTCTAGAGAGACTCTTCTCTAGTGAGGTAGGGTGTGTTATAATTTATTTTTTTAAGTGATCTTACTTGCTTTTGTGTGAAATACAAGTTGTATGTATGTTTAAATGTTAATTTAAAAAATTAATGATTGTTGTAACTTACATATAACTCTTTTTGACTTGGTATGTGGCATGGCCTTCACTTGATCCTTGTTATATAATTAATTGGAGCCATTTGAATGAGTTTTCAAATCTAGAAATTTAAATGAATTTAATTTGATTTAAATTATATTTAATTGTACCTTACTTGTTTTCTATTTTTGACTTGATACATGGCATGGCCATGACTTAGTCCTTGTTATATATTTAATTGGGATCATTTGAACAACTTTTGAAAAATTAGAGATTTAATTAATTTAAATTAATTAAAATGAACATGATGATGTCTTGCTCATTTTGCTCTTTTAATTTGATATATGCAATGAGCATACTATATTGTTTAACATATATTAATTTGAGATTATTTGGAATAGATTTGAAATCTAGAGACTTTCCATAATTAGGTTGAAAATCTCTTAAAATGTGGCATTTCAATTACCTTGTGAGCATGCTGCTAACTTGATGTAGAATTAGTACTTATGGCTCCTTAACATAGTAATTGGACTTAGCATGATATGGAATATCATTGACTTGAATGGCTTGTTTACATATATCTTGTGTAGGTATATAACTTGTTAGAATATTACAATTGTTTATCTTGGAAGTTAGTTACTAAATTGAAACTTATTTAGTATTTGTGGCTTAGGATGATAATGTGGCTCAATTGTTGTAAAAATATGCTTGCTTATTGTATAAATTGCATATTGAGGACATGACTTGTCATATGCTACTTAGACTTGAATTCTAGGACATCAATTGTGTGGATTCAACCTTACTTGTGCATGGAATGTGGTAACTTGCATTTGATTTTGTATAAGTATTGAACTTGTTGATTTTGGAAAGCTTGTGAGAACATAAATTATGTGATGGCTAGGGTTTGCCTCTAGTACGGAGACAATAGTCTTCTAAGTCATAAGTGCGCACTAGGTAGTACCTTGTGGGTCGTAATTACCCGAAAATACTTGCTTGGTCTAGCGACCGCATGTCCTAGTATTTCCACTATTTGATTTCACATTTAATTTCAAGTTGTTAATCATGGATTACTTGTAGCTTGAGAATTAATGCTTACTTGGATATTTGAATCCTATTCAGTATACTTGAACTTGTATACTTGCTCCACGAGTTTAAATTGCATTTAGTATACTTGTGCTATGTATACTTGTCATATGTGCAATCCTATTAGCTTAGTATACTTGTGTCAGTATATTTGAGTTATGAGATTTTCATATAAAATGCATACTTATGTAAATATGTTTAGACATTGCATTACTTGTCTTAATATGGTTTAGTATACTTGGAAATGTATGCTTGTACATTGTATAACATGTTTTAACATTGCTTAGTATACTTGAGCATGTATACTTGTATGTCGTAGTCTATTTCAATTGCATGAGTAGCTTTGGATGCTCCCTGAGTCTAACCTTTGACATAGACATTAGGTGGCATGACCCTTTTGAATTGTTTCAAGTCAATGTAAAAATCTCTAAAGAAATCGAGTCATGCGTTCTCATTCTCTACGAGTAAACTTGTTTACTCACCCCGAAGTTACTGGGGGGTTGTTTCAGATATGAAGACTTAGTGCATGATGTTCATCATTGCTTGGATGATAGTTGACTTGAAGGCTTTAGTTCTTATAAAGGTTGGCTTGAAATGCCATTTGTAGCCTTAATTGTCAAAATGTGTATTTTTGAGTCGATATATGTAATGTGTACGTAAGTACACCCTTTGCAATGTATTTGACATGTATGAGATGAGGCCGGAGGCCAATAACATGTATTTTGTATCCTATGAAATTTTTGACTTCATGAGATTTCGTGAAAATATTGAAAAATGTCAAGTTTTTGTTTCATCATGTTTGCATTGGGTGTGGGAATTCCATTTTGATTCTTCCGTAGGATCTTATTAGTCATGTATGAAGTGTGGCCAAGGGCCAAACAGTCATTTGAAGTCATTTGTTGATTTTAGTTTTCAAAGTTTCCATTTTAGGTTCATTTTCGCCTTTTTGACCGTTGGGGGGTCGGATTTTGACTCGGCCATTTTCGCGAGCCATGGACCATTCCCGCACTCTCAAAATCACTTATTACATGTGCATGCATATTCGTTTCAGCTTAGAAGTGCATTTGGGGTCAAGTGTATGCTTGGTGCAAAGTTGCATTTTCGCCGTTTTGAGCCTAAACTGATCTAAGGGAATTTTGGGGATTTCCTTTGAGAAACAAATTCCATTCTCAACTTCGTCACATAGAAAATGTGATTTTAGGTGGAGTTTCCTTTTCGTGTTTTTCCGAAAAATGTCATCTTGACCTCATAAACCGCGCTCCAAGTTCAATTTGCTGCTAAAAACACTGTTCCTGCATTTTTTGAGGTTCCAACCCATGCCATTACCCCATTTGGCCGGCCCCCGCAGCCATTTGGCGGGCGCCCGCGGCTCACTGCCGCATTTGGCGGGCTCCCGCAGGTTTTTGGCGGGCCCCCGCGGGCACTATTCCTGCTCCAGACATCTTTCTTCAAAGGGCCATATCTCACTCGTTTTAACTCTGAATTGGTCCGTTCTTAAGTCTAAATTGACCGCATCAAAATAAGCTTTCCAATGGTACCAATTAGAGCTTCATATTCCTCTTGTAACTCAAGATATTCAATTTTTAGTAAGGTAGTGTCAGAATTTGGTTCGAACTGGGATAAGGTTTCCCTTCCTTCGACTTCAGGACTTGATATCTTTTCCGTCCGGACTCCGAATCAGGTGATTCTTGAGTCTAACTTCATTAATTTTTTGTTTTCTTTCCAATGGTACCAGTTTTAGTTTCATAATTTTTTCATAGCTCAAGATATTCGTGTTTTAGTAAGAGGGTGTCGGATTTGGTTTGAATCGGGATAGGGTTCATCTGGGATTTGTCTTCCTTTGGCCTTGGGACTTCATGTGAAGTTACCAAATGGTGTTTTAAGATGTTTTAGATCTAATTTGACTTGTTGAAAGTTAAATTCCTTCCTCTTAGGGTAAAATGACCATTTTACCCATGGCTCTTCTCTTGTAGGGTTTTGATGCCCTTCTCATCATTTTGTTTCTGCTGAGTCTCGAAACTCTTTGAGAGTCCATTCTTGTGCCCTAGGGATGATGTACATCTCTAAGGACTCATCTTTGTCTTACTTTCGCGCTTTATTCATTTGAATTCCGTGGCTTCATAGGGAGTCATCGTGGTGCCTAGGGATGGCGTACATCTCTTGAGGTCATTTT